ACTCAGGGAGAGGGGTTGGATGCCACCTGCCAGTGTCATGTGGAACTGAGTGGAGCAGGGCCCTGCGCCTCTGATAAGCTGGTGCGGCAGGTGAGGGGTTCCAGCCACTCCAAATGCCTGTCTCTGTGCCACTCATTCTCCTGCACGCAGGTAATAATGCCAGCCTAACCCCTTGGTACCTTGCCTTCATCTTCTCCCTGGGGCTGGTGTGAGTCTGTGCAGCTGTTTTTCTCCTCATCTTAACTCCACTGTGTCTTTCACCAGCCTTTCCCACAAACACCACCTCTTGTTGTCTTCTACATCATGGGATAAAGTCAGGTTAAATTAGATTCTGAAGAGTAACCCACAAATGGAGGGTGCTCTGAAACTTTATCTGTCCCTTGTAGTGGAGACAGCAGATCTGGATCAAGGCATATGTATGCCCCAGGAAGAATTTGGCACCTCTTCAAATGGAAAGCCTTTAAATATGTGTTTAGGATTTATGGGGCAGAGAGGCTGAGGGCTGCGTTTAAGGTCTCTTCCCATGCCATCTAACCTCTTTTTTTTTGTCCCAAGCATTTCAGTTCTGGTCTTAAATATGTGTACCCTACTACACCCAGCAAAACCCTGCAGCTCCTTGGACCTGGTAGAAGGCAAAACATGACCATCTGTTGTTACTAGAGCCTGTCTTGTGGAGTGAATGCCTATTACCCCAAATGGCATTTTCAAGGAATATCTCAGTCTCTTGTGACAGTTTCATGCCTTTTTTTTACCCTCAGCGCCCATGGGCCAGGAAAGTATTTGGGGCAGTGGGTACACAAGCCCATCTCTAGACGAGGGTGAGCCTGCCTCGGTTTCCTTCATTAGCTACGCCAAAGACTGAGCCATGTCCTGCCAGCCTGCGTGAGTTGGATCAGAGTAGCTCACTCGCCCAGGCCACGTCAGAGACAATAGCAAACACCTGCAGACAGATGCTTTCTTCTCTGCGTAGCCTCAGGAATTTTCTTTTTTTCTTTCTTTCTTTCTTTTTTTTTTTCTTTGTAGAGGTTTTTGCTATAGGACGCATGCGCTCACCAGACAGAGAGAGAGAGACAGAGAGACAGAAAGCGAGAAATCACCCCCCAGGGGGGATGACCACACCGCAATCCCTTCTCCTCCATTCTCCTCTCTGGATCTTGGGCACGCATGCACACGCGCCCGGTGTGAGTTTTAAGCTACCGGGTCCGAGACATGAACCGCAGTCAACTACCTGGGAGTCCAGCGACATAGCCATTACGCTAACTGCTGGGCCCTCTAGCCCCAGGGATTTACTCTTTGTCAACACCAGCCCATAATTGTCATGGTTGCTGGAGTCTTAGAGTTGGGGCTGGCAGAAGAATGAAGTCATCTACTC